CTGTTTTTGAAAACCAATGTCCAAAACATACCGAAACTCTACCAAAATTTTGAAAAAAAAGAGAGAAAATTTTTTTGAAAAAAAAGAGTTGTTTTTGTTTTGTCAGAATTGCCCGAACTAAGCCAGTTTGATTTTCACTGGATGTGGGATACGTAGGCAATCCCCATCGGGTCCAACTTCCCTTTTGCAAAAATAGCCCAAAAGAACAAAAAAAATTATTTTATTTTAAATAAGCAGGGTGATGCCATTTTTATCTAAAATAGTTGAATGTCCCCAAAAGGACGCCGGAAGACTGTTTTAGCAAGAACAACCACCTTTGGTCTCTTTTTCGAATTTTTGACCGGTTAGCAAGCACAACCTTAAAATCTTCTCCCCGGAAGTGCTGAAAGGCCGTATTTGCAAAGTCGGGTTTTATTTGAAATGACAATTTCAAAAATTAACTTTTCTTGAGTCAAATGAGTCATGAATTTGCTTAATCACCCTGATAAATGTGCAGAATGAGCACGAGTCAAAATTTGCCAATAACAGTCATGAACAAGATCCCTTTGGAGCTGTGTATGTGGTGGGAAGATCTGGGTAAATCAGGGCAAGATAAGGTCAATTTATACTTGGGAGGACTCACCGGGTTGTTAAAGATCAGGCCTAGAGGGGACATCATAAAGGCATTGGTTACATTGTGGGACCCGTCCCACAATATTTTTCATTTCTCAGATTTTGAACTCACCCCAACTCTGGAAGAAATAGCCGGATATATTGGGAGCGCTGAAGTTCCTCTGAGACACAAGTATCTGGTTGCTCCAAGAGTCGTCGTTGTGCAAAGATTCCTAGATTCCTTAAAGATAAGCAGGGGGGTCTATAACCCTTATTTGGCCGCAGGATTTTCCACTCCGCAATTTATATACCAAAGATACGGTCACATAGGAGGGTTTAACAATCCTGAAAACAAAATTTGAACCAAAGGGAAACGCCTCAAATGGGAAGAACACGGGTGTTTTGCTTTTATGGTGGTCTTCTTGGGACTTCTGGTGTTTCCTAGGAAAGATGGAAATATCGACATACGAATAGCTGGGGTTGTCAGCACTTTGCTTACTCAGGACAAAAGCACCCTCGCACCCATGATAGTAGCTGAAATCTTCTGCGCTCTCACAGCTTGCAAAGCCGGAGGAGACTTTTTTGAGGGGTGCAACTTGTTGCTGCAGATGTGGAAGATTGAACATCTATGCCATCGTCCTCAATTCCTGAGTTATGGGTCGATAGAGAAAACATGCATAGAGGAATTTTATACGAGGGTTGATGGGATCAGCTTCCCAGAAGGGGTTATAGAATGGGTATCACATCTCCGTTCCATCAGTGCAAGTCAAATAGAGTGGACGTTTGGGTGGCTTCCCGTAGATGAGATCATATGCATGCCAGCTACTTAGCCTCATTTCCTTTTGATGGGTCTCAGGAGTATCCAGCCTTATGCCCCATACCGGGTTTTGAGACAATTAGGGAGATATCAAATGGTTCCTAGGGATGAAGACATTAGTCGCCATATGGTCGATATTGGTCCCGATGGTCAGTTTCATGAAGTAGCAGTCCACCAAATTTGGAGCGAATGTTAGTACTTGACGGCAAACACTCGAGTGCGTGATCTGTCCAGAGGTGAAGTTGCACTAGGATATCTTGCCTGGTATAAAAGGGAAGTTGAGTTTGGAAGGCCGGCCAAAAGACCTCATCTTCAAGAATTTGTCGGAGCATCACAAGAGCAATGGGATTGGCTGGCCAAAGAAAATGAGTACAGAGCCACCATAGGCAGGCTAGAAAAGCAAGTCATGGACCTTCAGTTTGAGAATGGTTTGCAAGCCGCCGCGGATAAAGGCGAGAAGAAAAAGCTAACTCAGGAAAATGAAACCCTCAAAACCAAATTCAGAAAATGAGAACAGCTGCTAGAAACCCGGAAAGAAGCCAAGTGGATGAAAGGCTTATAAGCAGTCTGAAAAAGAAAGCCCTGGAGCGTCAAGATGACCTGGAAAAGTCTGAGGCCAACCTAGCCAAAGTCCGGACACAATGGGCAAAGGAGGCGGAAGAGCGGGCAAAGTTTGTGCAACGAATGAAAAGAAAGTATGAAGGGACAATCACCAGCCTGAAGAGAAAAATGACTACCCTCGAGAATGAAGTAGCCAAGCAAGTTAAGGACTTCAAGGCTGATAGGGAACACTGTTATGATTTGATGGCTCAGATGGAGGAAGAAATGCAATAGTTGCAAAATCAACATCTCCACGACACTCAGGTGTTAGAAGCCCGGAATCAACAGGTCGCGCGTCTGCTTCAGGAAAAGGGTAGAATCCGAGAGCGGGTCAGAGTCATCGCAGACTACATTGTTGTGAAATGCCAAGCATATGAGGATATGACTCGCACCACTTTCTTCGCGGCAGTGATGATGTTTGTCCAACAGATAATGAGTGACTTGGAGAGGCTTCAAAGGGATCTTGCATATAGGCCCGTGGCGAGACCGAATGATGTTCCGCGGGCCCCAGGAGCATTTGAGGCATTAATGTATTCGTGATTTTTTTTACTTGAGTCTGTGTTTTCTTTCTGTTAAAGTCTGTTAGTTTCTTTTGAGTCTGTTAGTTTTTGAGTCGTTATAATCAAAGTATTTGCTTTTTGAAAATCCCAAAAATATTTTATTACTTATTTTTACACTTATACCCCAGAACTACGCTCGGTCTGATTCATGCGGGGTCATGATACGTAGGCAATCTCCATAGGATTCGACCATAACCAAAAGAAAAGAGAAAGAAAATAAGAAACCGTGAGAAGGAAACAAAATAAGAAAGGGAAATGAGAGAATAAAAAAACAAAGAGAAGTCAAACAAAGAAAGGCAAGAAAAAAAAAAAGAGAGAAAAAGGGAAGTTGCACATAGAAATAAGGAAAAGCCGGGATGACACAAGCAATCAAGCAAATACATGATAGAAATGATTAATTACTTAGGTGCATTGCATTCCACAAATATACGGTTACCAATCTGTTAAGCTCTAATCACTAACGAGTTTGTTGTTGATGTTGTAGAGTTAAGGCAGGTGGTTAGTTTGTTGAGCATTCTGGCAACTCATCCATACAACACCAGGTCCAAAGGCGAATTGATCATGTCTAACCAAGAACTTGATGCGAGTAGCATCGATCCTTCAAGAGAGGTGGAAGAATTGGATGTTAATTCGATGAAAGAAGAGATGTATAAGTTGAAGCAGCAGATGGCCGAAATGTACCAGGCCTGGGCAAAAGGGCAACCACCACCAGCTTACCCCACCAACCTTGCTTTTATCCTACCATTGACTCAAACCNCATCCCGCCATTGACTCAAACCCAGGAACATCCTACTGGTGATTCATCTGCAGGATTTCCTATTTACCATCACTACCAAGGCACCACCTCCCAAACCCCGCAAACTCCACCACCCAAACCAGTTCCGTACCCTCCTCCACCAGCCACTCCTGTCTTCGTAGCACCACCGCCTGCTACAATTCACCGATCCTCCAGCGAGCCTTTATTCCAGGCTCATGACAACCAGTATTACCCCCCTGAGCCCATTTTCAAAGCTTCAGAACCCTATTCTTACACTCCTCGTTTCGATCTTCCCGTGGAAGCTGAGAAATCGTCCAAAATCCCGAACATGAGGAGATGTTCAGGAAAGTTAAAAGCTTAGAACAGTCATTCAGGGACAGGCGGGGGTTGGGAGGTCAAGTAAGTATTGTGAGCATGTGATTTTTGCCCTACATATGAATTACTCCCAAAAAATTCAAAATAAAACAATTTCAATTTGTTTGCAATTGTTGTGAATTTTCTGTTATTTTCCTTGTATGATTTGCATTTATTGTATGACATGTTTATTTGTTAAAGTAATAAAAAATACAAAAAATATGTCGTATTTGCATTTAGGATGTAATTCTACAATTAGGAGTAATCAAGTTTGTTATACAAAAAATGGAAAAGCACAAAAAATATGTATTTTTTGCATTTTTTTAGCATTTAATGTCCAAATTGTGTGATTTTATTTTAATTGATGTTTAATTTTGTGTGATAATTATTATTAGGAGTTAATTAGTATTTTAAGATAATTTTTGGTTTTATAATTTAATTTTAGCATTTTAGTTTTATTAATTAGTAAAAGAAAAGAGAATAAAAAATAGAAGAAAATCGGAATTGGGCCTCTTCTTCAATTCTAAATTTAGGCCCAAAACACCTCTTCCCAACCCAAAACCCCTTGACCCGGCCCATTTCCACCCCATCCCTTTTGATTTTTCAGATTTGTTTCATTCTTTTCACTCAACCAAACAACCCAAACCCTAAATACACCCTAAACTCTCTAGCCGTCACACCTCATCCCCCCCTCTTTCTCTTCTTCTTCTCCCTAACCACCCAACCCTAAAACCACCCAAACCTTTCCATGCTCGCCTACCACCTATTGCCCTCCCTTGTTCGTTCTTTGTCATCATCCCCATTCGAGCAACCGGCGACCACCCAAACCGCCAGATTCGTCTTCTTCTCCGTCGTGAACCAACGGCAACCAACGAACAGCCCAAACGACCTCCCCATCGCTGCTGCCTCTTCTTCATCTGCTGCCCTCCCCCATCCGCCATTAACGAGCAGCAGTGCTGCTGCGTTGCTGTTCCTTCTTCTTCGTCCCAAGCTCAACCACTGCAACCACCCTCCAAATGACCCTTCCAGCGTCGCCCAACCAGCAGGCCCGTCGTCGTCGTCACGTCCAAACCACCATTGTTGCTGCCCTCCCCCGTCCGCCATTAACAAGCAGCAGTGCTGCTGCGTTGCTGCTCCTTCTTCTTCGGCAGCCACTGCTGCTGCTTCATCCATGAATGTCGCCTCCATTAACGACCAGCAGTTCCTTCGTCGAGCTCCCATGGCTGCTGCTCCTTCTTCTTCTTCGTTGTCTCCCTCAGCTCACGTCCAAACCCTATCTCTTGCTTTGCTGTGAACCCTTCAGCAGTTTTCATAGGGTAAAATGAGCCTAGATGCTGCCAGAGCAGAGCTTGCCCTTGCAGTCTTGTACTTGAACAAAGCGAAGGCAAGGGACAAGATATGTAGGGCTATACAATATGGTTCAAAATTCCTGAGTAATGGAGAGCCTGGCACTGCACAAAATGTTGACAAATCAACTAGCTTAGCAAGGAAAGTGTTCCGTCTTTTCAAGTTTATCAATGATCTGCATGGTCTTATTAGCCCAACTGCCCCAGGAACCCCACTTTCTTTCATCTTGTTGGGAAAGTCAAAAAATGCATTACTGTCAACTTTCTTGTTTCTGGATCAAATTGTATGGCTTGGAAGGACAGGCATTTATAAGAACAAAGAATGCCCAAGAACCCACCCTGCTGCTTCCACGCACACACACGGAGGAAAAGCCAAGCAGTCCAATTAAAGTCTGGCAAAGTTCTGTCAAGGTCTCGTTTGGTTTTGTTTGAGTCCGTTGTTGTTCGTCGTTCGGCGAGGTCCAGTCTAAGTTCGTCAAGGTTAAAAGAGAAGGTGGGGTTTTGTTAAGTCGAGATCCGGTACGTCGAAGGTGCTGTCCGAGCTTTCCATTTCCGTTCGAGTTCGTCGTTGGTCATTTCCGGTTAGTTGGTTTAAGTTTCATTTCTGTCCGTATATTGTTTAATATTCTCGGATCTGAAATCAGTATATGTTTGACTCTTTTCTTATTTGTTGTTTATCATTTTTGATTATTTCTTCAGTTTGCTTTATGTTCTTGTTTAGTTTAATATAGAAATTGTTGGTTGTAATGTTGTTAGATTTAATTTGAAGTCCAATTGATTATTGAGTTTAGAGATTTGAATCTACTTGTTTGTTATGTTCAATTTGTTACTGTTATTGAATCTGAAAGTATGTTTGTTGTTAAAAATATTGTTCAGTCAAAAATATTGAGTTTCTAGCCTAAGTTTGTTCATGAAATTTGATTAGGAATTGGTTATAGCTGCTGTATTTTGGTTAGAATTGATTAGGTGAATTGGTTATAGCTGATGGGGTTAGAATGGTAATTTCAGTAATTTCAGAGGCGTATTTTTGGAATTGAAAATTTGAACAATTATTTAATCTGAGTGTTCTGTCCACTAAGCGCTAATAATATTAAAATAATACGAAAAGGGGGACAAGACATAATGGTGGAGAATTAATACATTGTTTAATATAGTGGGAGACAAAGCATGCAGTAGTGGGGAATAATGGAATTAAATAAAGAAAAGATATGTGTTAGTGGAAACTAATGTATTTGTTTAATATAGTGGGGGACAAAACATTAAGTAGTGGGAAGTTAAAGGGGGATGGGTAGAAGATGGTGGAATTTAATTTAAATGCTGGAGCATTTGGCTATAAAGAGGGGAGCTGGACACAATTAAAAGGGAGAGCTTGACAGAAGTAGGGGAGAATTCCAAAAATATCGAGAGAGAATAGGAGATTTTCTGAATATTAAGAGAGATTTGAGGATTTTTCGGAACAGAAAAAACATTCTGGAAATTTAAAGAGAGAGTAGTATACACCCGATATACAATCTGACTACACTGGATATACAGATTCAGAAATTAAGGGTTAAACATTAACTGGTCTTTCAATCTGAAAAATATTCACTTTGTTTCTGCCCGTTGATTGTTGTTGGTGTTTTTGGATTTTCATTTGGTTTGTTCTTTGAGTTTGGTTGGTTATTTGCTACTACTTCACTGGTTGTTGCTGGATTTCTGCTCGGTTTTTAAATCTGTTGTTGGGCGTTGCTGTTGTTGTATGCTACTGCATTCCTACTAATCTTCCTTTTCTTTTGCTTCCAATATCAGGTACACAACTGACACGCTGGTTACTGTAAATTGAAACATGAAGCATGAATATGAAATGAAGAGTTGAAGTTCTGAATTATCTTAGTTATATTCTGAATTTTATTTGTATATATATATATATATATATATATTATTTAGCTTCCTCTAAATCATAATCATGTAGTTGTTTAATATATATAATGGAACATCTGACAGTAGCTTAGTGGACGAACTGTCTATGTATTGCCTAAAAATAAATAAATGGT